AAGCCATTAAATTTATATAATATCACAAATTCATGAATGAAAAATGTTATTTATATAATCACATGCTAAAATTATAAATTTATAATATCATATAATATTATAACAATATTATTGAAAAAAAATAAAAAGGGATGGAGCCAATAAAGGACAAGGGGGCAGCCGCCCCCCTAAACTTTTTAAAAACTTTTAATATGGTATTCTAACTTTTATTTGTATAAAATTTTCTTTGTATAATGCGAATTTTAAAGTTCGTTTCTAATGTAAAGAAAATATTTACTATATAAATAAAGAATTTTCGAAAAATAGGATATGATTTGAAAAAATGAATTTATGTCAATTTAATTAATTAAGAATTAACGTTTTAAAACATTTTCTCATCTATTAAATCCACACAAAAAAAATTTTTGATTCTTTATTTGAACAATTTTTTTTTTTTTTTTTGCACAGCAAAGGTAATTTATTAAGATTAGTGTGGATGTACAAGCAGTACTCCACCTAATTACTTACACAAGAACTGAGAAGGAATAGGCTACATATGTTACTCCTATCTTTGAAACTATTCTTCTCCTAGGCTTACTCTTAACCATCTGTAAGACAAGCTATAGGATTACACAACCAATCTGAAAGATAAAAGTGACAACCAGCCCTACTTGATGTAATCCAAAAAAAAGATCTTAATTGTATTAACTCCAGCAACTTACCCATGTTTGTTTCTTGGCCTTGAAAAATCTTCCTATTCCGCAAAAGCCAAATTGACCAGATCACTGCACTCCAAATGCAATCCCATCCATTTTTGAGCCGTTTATCATTGGTCCATGCCTCAAGGTGGTCGAAGGTTGTCCAACAGTCCGTCTCCATCCTTATAGAAATCCCCCACCATTTAGCACACTCCTTCCAAATCCATTTCACTACTTTGCATCTCAGAAACAGGTGGGCTGAGTCTTCATCTTCCTCCTCGCAGAGCCTACACTTCACATCATCCATCACACTATCAATTCCTCTTTTCAACAAGTTCTTTTTGGTTGGTATTTTATCAAGCACGACTCTCCAGTTAAATGCTGCAATTTTGCTTGGAATATTGTGATTACAGATTCTTTTAAAGCATTTTTCATTTGGAGTCTGCTGGGCATTTGACAACAGCGAACAAGCTGATGAAGAGGAGTATTTGCCGTCCCTCTTGTGCACCCACTCCCATTTGTCTATGATTCTTGGTTGCATTTTCACTTTTTCGATCATTTTTGATAGCTCATAGGTCGACTCTTCTTCCCATTCCATCAATCTTCTTCTCCAATTTAATTTCCATTCCCACGTTCCATTAAGCTCTCTCCCCATTTGGTAGCATTTTTTCTCTTTATCTGTTGATAACAAATATAATCTAGGAAACAAGTTAGCAAGACAGCGCCCCCCACACCACTCATCCCACCAGAAGCTCACCTCTTTACCCTCCCCCATCTTTAATCTAAACCCCTCAACTAACCACCCAATATTGTCCCTCTCAGCATTGTTAATCCTCTGGATGTCACTCCACCATAGAGAGCCCCCCTCATTTCCATTTCTCACCCACTTCTGCCAATGTCCCCCTCCCCCTCCATATTTTCCTCTAATGACTCGTTTCCATAAACCCTTTTCTTCTGCTGCTAACCGACCCCACCATTTCCCCATTAGCACTAAATTAAACTTCTTTAAATCTTTCACACCTAGCCCCCCGTACTCCTTATCTTTGCAAATCATATCCCACTTTACCCAATTAATTTTTCTCTCCACTCCCTCTCCCCCCCATAAAAAATTCCTACGAATTTTATC